GGTGCGGAGGTGGTGGCGGGGGTTGTGGAGGCCACGTCAGTAGGGGGGAAAAAGTGGGGGGGGGAGGGGGGGGGGGGGGGCGGGAAAAGCAACAACCAAAAAACCCCTATGTATTACAAATCCAATTTTTAGTAATCTTGGCACTGATTTTGCTTTATATTACGCATGCAGAGCTTCAGTAAAAATGTTTTTAAGTGCTTTTACTTCTTCAGGACCTAGTAACCAAGAAACTGTCTGTAATATCATTCTTTTGGGGGGAAAGTGAATGGATTTTGGATACAGATTTCCAAAACACTGTTTTTTGTCTCAAATAATCGGTTTTGGCATAGAGCTCTGACAACTAAACATGGTGTTTATCACTTCAGCCAGCTACACCAAGGTCAGTGAAAGAGACTGCTTTATATTTGACAGGGAAGCACTTCCACCAGATGCATTAATAGTGTGAGAGTAAGAATTATAGACACATGAAGTGATTGAGGAGTGCTGTGTGCCAAAGTGAAACTCAGATTCAGATCTAGATTGGGGTAGAATTTTCAAAGGCACTACAATGACCTGGAGATCATGTCACCAAGCAGTTGGGAGCCCAACTCCCATTTTCAGAAATTACGTAAGGACTTCACTGCCTTTCAGCGAGACTTAGGTTCCTTTTCCCAGGAAAAACAGCCTTTAATTCACAATTAGTTCACAAAAGCAGTCTTTGCCTCTTCATAATTGTATTGCATAATGACTTTACTACCTTTTAATAACATCAGATTTCTTGTCTGTGTCCATTATCACCAGCTTAGAAGCTATTCTGTTGCTTTGGGAATTTCATATTCCAAGTCACTTACAGAACTATAATTAAGAACTTCCGCAGAAGACCAGGTGATATATGTATGTTAAGATATTATATTCTGCTGATTTAGTATCAAGTCTTAGATTAATTTGAAACATCACGCTGGCTTCATTATAAATGTTTCCATGGAAAGAACATGTTATTGGAAACTGAATAATTAATAATGTCTGTGTTAACCAAATGTTTTCTGAGTGGTTTGTTTAAAAACGTCAGGACTCCAGTTGAAAATCCTGGCTCTGTTGAAGTCAGTGGCAGAATTCCCATTGCCTTTAAAAAGATTTATCATTTTTTCAAGAATTATTTGTCAAAGCTCCTTAAAGTTTCTGTATACAAATTTATATTTGTATGGTAGGGATCCACGTGCCTTTTTGATCTCCAAAACAATTGTTTGCAGAATCAGGAGAAAGGAAGTAAAATGCGCAGTCACTCTTCAGTTCCGATCCTTTGGGCCAGACTAAAGCGTACTCAAGAGAAACATAACCTGCTCTCATTTAGTGGCTTCTGAAAGTCCTGCCCTCCAGATCATGTCTGAACGAGATGGACGGGGGGAGAAGGATGGGTACAGATCCATCTACTGTAGATTCACAAGCATCTGTGAAAATTCTCACGCTAGTGATTTTAATGTTTGTAGCAAACAAAATTGCCGGTGGAGGCTTCTGTTATTAACCAATTGTTCTGTTCTCGTGCTACTTAAAATAAAGTTTCAGGCTCCAAATCTTGATGAAAGCAGAGCTTAATCCTCATAGCGTGTCACAGCATTTGGATCTCAGTGGAGTTTATAGTGTAAAGATCTGACCCTGTAAATTAGGACCTAAATACTACCGTTAGTTTCCATTACCATTGATCATAATATTGCAAAACTCCTTTGGGTTCAAACGGTGGTCATAATACGCACATATGCAAGTTTGAAAGATGTTAAGCTTTAGACAGAAATTGTAGGCTTGCTACAGAATTTGCACGTGCCCAAATCCATTTAAAAGGGTATAAATGGAGTCTGTATGAATTAGGAACATAGTTGACATAAACTTCTGTGGTCAATGAGCTCTCCATTAGATGATTAAGGCTCTGGAACATTGAATTACCTAGGTGTTAACTAAGGCTAATAATTTTTTTTTCCCATCAAAACAACTTGTAAGAAATTCCTTTGTTACCGAAATGCAACTTTTTGCAAAAGGAATCTGCTTTCTTCATCTATCATCTTAATCATTACAAGTGTTTAATTCTTGGCTAGCCCAAGTTTGGTCTTAAACCAAAGTCCTGTCTGGCAAATTTATAGTAACTTCTTCATGTGGTATGATTTCTGGATAACTAGTTCTCCTCTTAACATAGCCAGCTGTTCCCAGGCAACAAAGCAAACTGAAACTTGACAAGTAAACCAAAAACTCTGCTAGAAAAGAGAATGTGATTTCATTTTATTACAAGTCATAATTTGCAGAATTCTGTAAATTATGTAGAATTTTATTCCCTGTCTTTATTCCCTGCATTTCCTGTATCTGGTAGTAGTAACAGTCTAGTATCAAAACCTTCTTTTCCCATCCACCTCCAGATCGCACTGCAAAATGTTTAACGGGAGGAGGCAAACTAAGATATGGGCAATTTGAAACATGGAATAGTTCATTTTAGATGTTTCCTGGTATTCTTATTAATCATTTTCTTTCAATTTTTCTGACAGATGATGCTAATGAAGAAGGGACTCCGCTGTGTGAAGAGACAGGTGAGTAAACAGTATTTTATGATAAAATATATCACTTCTCTGAAGCATCAACCAAACGGAAAGAATTCTTGAAACTATTTGCCTTGGTTGTGATAAGCAGTGCCACTCATTTTTTGCCAATGTTATGGCAGTCATCTCTAATTTTTAACATAACATAGGGTAAACCATCCCTAATAATAAATAGTATGCAGTAAGAATGGCTGAGACTATCTTTTTAATGGCATAATCTGTTATGAGCCTCTGGGTGATACTCAGTTGCTTTTTATTAATAACTAGTTTGAACATGAATGGGAAATAACTAAAATTCTGCAGTCTCTCTGTCTGTAAAAAGGTGTGAATACAGCAATTCTTGAGTCATTTGCAATTCTGATTATTGGCCATGATTTGTTTGCAATGAAAATGGTAGCAAAACTCTCCGTCAAACTCTTAAATACGTTGAACTTGATTGGACAATATTTCAGAGGACTTTTTTCCTGGTCCTCCTAGTTTGCTGTTTAAAACAAGTGTCAATGTTTAGGGTTTCTGGATGTGTATAGACTCGAAATGGAAATGGTGGTTAGGTATGAAGGAAAGAAAGGCCTGAGGAACAAGAAAAGGAGAGGACAGAGGATTAGATATCCCCCATGAGGGCAAAAGCTTCCAGTCAGAAGACTTCTGCTAGTTTTTTTTGGTAGAGAGCTTTATCCACTTAATCTTCTCGATCAGGTTTTGTAACAGGCTTCCACCACAGCACACCATGTTATTTTCCCTGCTGACCTTCACCTAGAGGTTCTCAGTGGACATCTTCTGTTCCATAAAAGACTTATGTGCAGTGAAGGACCTCCTTTTACATGCAGTGTATCTCCCCCTACTCTTCTTCTCTGCCTCTCCTTCCTAACCAGCTAGTACCCATCTGTGACAGTGCACCAGGCATGTGCACTGTCCCCCAGGTCTCTGTGACCCTGATCCCATCATAGCCCAGTGACTGCGCAGAAACTTCCAGTTCTTCTCTTTACGAAAAGATAGGGCATCAGAGAGGAGAGCCACACGGAGAAAGGCAGAGAGATACCAGCCAGAAAACAGAGGTAAAAGCTTTTGAAGCAGTATGTTGGCTGCTTAAATTGGCAAGATTGTCCTAAAGACAAACGGATTATGATGATTTATGCAACCAGATAATTAGCTTAGAGATTAGAAGTTCTTGAAGAATGGTGTATGCGCATAGATGTGAAAACATGGATATACACAGATAGATATGTGTTCCGCTGATGGATTAGCGCATTCTTTTATGGCTGTTCTGGCCTGTTGATTTTATTACACATAATTATAATTACTTTTTGATGTCAAGACTACTGGATAGGAACTTCTAGAAATTTTAATACAATTAGTGTGATTGATATAGTTGTACATACATACATAAAAGTAGAAAAATAAAGACTGTCATTATACAACAAACATTTGCCAAAGATTATCCTGCAGTTGAATTTGCAGTATTCATCTAACATTTCCAGTTTCATTTTTTACAGTTATCATGGCATGTATACTTTTATAAGCCCAATTATTTTGCATTTTTTCTCTTGTTGCTTTTATGGAGATTATGCAAATTACTTTTTTTAAAAGCATTTTAAATTAGAATTAAAAGGAAGTGCCTTTCCACCTAATAGCTGGTCTCGTCTTTCTTGCCTTGTATCCTTCACAGCTTCATTAATTTGGGTGAAGCTACATAGCTGCTCTGAGAAATTATCACTGAATTAAGTCATTTGAGGAAGGTATTTCCCTACTTGCCTGTTTCTTTGTGCATATGAGATAGATGAGATCAGGTTTGCCTGTAGGGTGCTATGAGCTTCAACAGCACGTACTTGGTTATTTCTTCATCACCTGGAGATGTTTTGGGAATCAGTGCATTGATTGTCAGCAATCAATATCTACATGGCTGAAGAGAAGTATCTTTTGTATATCTGCTCCAGTAGTGGGGCAGATGTACAAAAGTTACGCCCTTTTGACCTATTTGTGTATGGACTTTTTAACGATTGTAGGATGTGTTTGTGGGAACTATAAATACATCCATAATTTCTGCATTGAGGGGAGCTTTCATTTTTACACTCAGCTTTTTATCAGTTTGAAGGATATCTACTTTTAACTGTTCTAAGGGGAAAATAGAGTAGCAACTTCTAGTCACCACTTCAAGATATTAATTGAATAATCATTCTTCATTCTACTTGACTTCATGGGTCATGACTCCAGCAGATGGAGTCAGCAGTTGGCACCAGTATTGATGACCCTGTTTTTTGGAGCTGTCCATATCCAGTCTGCTTTAGGATTATTTCTCCAATTCCTGTGCTTAAGGAAAAACAAAATGTTGGATTCCTGGAGATCACGTTACAGACTACACACGTGTAGGACCTTTGGCAGAGATTCAAATATTCTAAATTTCACCTAAATTCCTGTGCCTCCAACTTCCTATTGGCTAAGTGTTTCTGGGGGCCAATACCAAACCAATAGAAAAAGACAGAGAAGTACAGGGACACAAATGAGATGTAGATTCATTGTGTCTGTACCAATTTCCGTTTGAAGAATGTAGTTGAATGAGGTGGAGGTTACAGAGTTGGTCCTAATTTAAACCTGGTGGCAAGAATTAGAGGAAAAAAAACTGATCCTGGTTTGGCGTCAGCTGAAGTCTATGGGAATATGTCCATTGACTTCACTGCACACCAGGTTAGGCCTTGGGAACAGCTAGAGAATTAGCCGGGAGTAAGGAATAACAAATGACCAAATGTGTGTATTATTGAGTGATGGATACATTATGAAAGTAATCTGTCTTGTGTTTCTACCACCCTGAAGTGCAAATATCTCATTACATGCAGAAAGGCCTTTCTTTCTATGATTTCTCTTCAAAATAAATAAGAGAATATCTTAATTACATCTGCCAGATAATCTCCATTAATATCTACATTAATACTATAAAATCAACAAGCATAAATGATCATTTTAGCGAGTTAATCACATAACGTCATTGCATATATTGGATACACTAGAATAAGAAAAACATTTAAAAATAAAAAAAACCTCATCTTATTAAATATACACACTCAAGACCACTCTTCTAATGGCATTTAACTCACAGGATTTTAACCCATCAATTTGTTATTCTGGATTCTGTATCTTGTAGCAGTTGCCGACTTAACGGCACCATTTAATTCAAAGCGCTTTGATGTTATCGTATGTCATACAGTTTGCTGTTAGAATGGCTTGAGTCAAAAGGGCAGATATAGTAATAGCAGGTACAGCCCTGTGCGGTTCTACATCTCAGCTTTCCTTTATGAATGATTTCCTACGTAAGCAAAGAGAAGGACCAGATGACCTAATAGTCTTGTCTACCTTTAACTTCAGTAATTTAATACTGCAGAGTCATGATGCTTAATGTTTTAAGCTCCATTAAGGGAAGATTATTCTAAACTTTAACTTCTGAATGACTTTGCTTTTATACCCGTAGATTCACATATCCATGCACAGAAGCATGCAAAATAAGCCCTAATACTGCCATAATTGTGTGCGCAATTGTAGTGATTGCATGTGGAAATTATAGAAGCATGTGCTATTATGAGAAGCACTGTCCAGATTCCTACACAATAGTATCACATTATTATGCACTGACATGTTAATTCTCTTACCATTCAAAAAAAACCCCAAAAAAACCCCAAAAAAACCAAACCAAACCAAACAAACAAAAACCCCAACAACAAAAACAACAGAAAAGAGTTTCAGTTCTGAATCTGTATTCTCCCTCAGCCTGTTCAGCTTCACTTTCCACGAGGTACCAAAAACTTTTGACCTCGCCTGTATGAATGTTGCCACCCTACTGTCTTTCATTTCCCATCTAATGGTTGTTCGTAATAAATGCCTTGCTGGTTATCTCTGCCCTGCAGAGAGATCTAGACAAATCAGAGAGCTGGGCAATCGGCAACCATATGAAGTTTAACAAGGGCAAGTGCTGGATTTTGCACCTGGGACAGGGCGACCCTGGATGTCCATACAGACTGGGGAATGAGAGGCTGGAGAGCAGCCCCGCAGAGAGGGATCTGGGGGTTCTGGTCGACGGCAAGTTGAACATGAGCCAACAGTGTGCCGTGGCAGCCAGGAGGGCCAACCGTGTCCTGGGGTGCATGAAGCACTGTATCACCAGCCCGGCGAGGAGGGGAATGTCCCGGTTTAGAGGGGAAGCTGTATGAGGAGCGGCTGAAGTCACTCGGTCTGTTCAGCCTGGAGAAGAGGAGACTGAAGGGGAGACCTCATCGCAGCCTACAGCTTCCTCACAAGGGGAAGAGGAGGGGCAGGGGCTGATCTCTTCTCCCTGGCAACTAATGATAGAACCTGAGGGAAGAGCAGGAAGATATGCCGGGGAGGTTTAGGTTGGACATTAGGAACAGGTTCTTCACCCAGAGGGTGGTGGAGCACTGGAACAGGCTCCCCGGGGAGGTAGTCATGGTGCCAAGCCTGGCAACATTTAAGAAGCATTTGAACAACGCCCTCAGACATATGGTGTGATTTTTGGGGTAGTCCTATGCAGGGACAGGAGTTGGACTCGATGATCCTTGTGGGTCCCTTCCAACGCAGGACATTCTATGATTCTATAATCCCATTTCTATCCTGAGCATCCTAGTTAACCACCTGTTCATTACTCAGAAGCCACAGCCAGCTAGGATGACAGGACCAAGGATCTCATTCACACTAACAGGGGAAGCCCTATTATAAACAATGCTGTATAAATATAGAATTTCTTTGTACGTTCCACTGTGTGCACAGTCTTATACTTGGACACTTTTTTTTGGAGGGAGACTTCCTCTTTTTTTCTGAGATGAAAATAGCAATCACTTGTAACCAGGGAGATTTGGAAGGTGTGAGGGATTTTGGGAATAGCTTACTTGGAGACACACTGTGAGATTTAAGTGGCTTGTTGACCCTCTGAATTAGCCTATAAAGAAGAATCATTTCTCCCAGTGTTAGAGCTCAGAAACCTTTTTGCACTGATGATCACGATTAGAAAAGCTTTTAATACGATCAGTTCAGACATCTGTCTAGGTGTGCTGTTTCTAAACAGAAATTTGCAGGCAAAAAGTCTGTAATATTTGGCTAACTGTTCTGAAAGACATACATACTGTTGGAGAGCAGAAAGGGTTAAGAGTTGTATTTTGACCGTAATAAAAAGGCATTATTTTGAAGCCTGCACAAATCCTTTTCTGTCTCTGGAATGAGGGAAATCTGCTAAAAAGCAGTGAAATTGTGATTGAAATCTTGTTCTCCTGGGACAGTGCCTCTACATCCTTTTGTGAGCATTTTAAGGTTCTTTATAGAGTGCAAAAAGATCATTTCTTTTGAGATAGTAACAGTTCTGACTTCTCTGAATGTAAGCCTCCTCCTTCTCCGTCTTTGTGCTGTCAATTAAGATGTTGGTTATATTATCTAATGTATTCAGATACTCCTGAAAGACCTGGCTGGACATTTGCATTTAAACTTGATTGGCATTTGACTTGTGGGACTGGAGGAAGTGTCACAGATTGGTTAGATGATAAAATTCATCACTAGAGGGGTGACTGTTGATTGAAACACTCCTATTGATTTGATTCCCTGATGTGAATCCTTGTCAACCAAAAAAGGGAACGTAGCAGGTAGTTCAGAGTGGCATTAAAACCAAAGAAGCCATACGTCAATACGGTCCACTATAAATATTCAAGCTATTTTTTAAAAGAATGGGAGAGTGTTGGCAGGAATCAATCTTTAAAAGCCTGGTTATTTTCAGGATCTCTCTTTTGTATTGAAGTTTGTGTTGAACTCTATCACCATTGCTCCTGAATAACCCTTTTAAAGGGTTGACGAAGTGTGTCTTTATTTGGCAGGTTTTGTCTTTATTTTTCCCCACGGTATTTCTTGTGGTTACTCCTACATTCTCACCGCTCCAGAAGTAAATTCATCTTAGTGCTCGAAAACTCTGGTTTTCCTCAAAGTATTGTATTTGAATTTCAAATTCAGATGAGCAAATATGATGCCATGACACATGACATGTCCTATGTTAAGTGCTGCCAGGGAAGGTCTACCTCCTGATACCAAGCCAAACCTCAAAGCGTGTTCTGCTTCGCAGTAACTCGCTTTATTTACTGATCACTAAGGGCCCTTCATGTTCTGAACTATATGGAGTTCCAGAATGAAACGGAAATTCCATTCTAGAAGAAATTTTTAAGAACAATATTCAGTTTGGCTTTTTTGGGTAATGCTCATTCCTTAAAATTAAGCAAGTGAGATGGAATTTAATTACTCAAATACAGATCTCCATTTTGGAATTTTTGTTGACATTTTGAGCTGTTGCTTTACATAAATTCGTGCCAGCTTCACAATCTGTGGATCTTCTTTTTGGATGTAAGTGCAGTAGAATAACCAGTTTTCCAGGCAGGCGGACAGAGAACGTTTCTGAGTTTCCTGGGCTCCATGCAAAGCCCGTAACGATTCACTCCCTTTTTGTCTCTTGAACAAACACTCTTTGCCTTGACCCTGCAAGTTCCTTTTCCACATCCTCGCTTACTTCTTTCATACCTCCTGTTTGGAAACTTTTAGCATTGTAGTTCTAGCTATATGTAGTTGTGGAAGGCTAGGAAATAAAAGGATAGTATCTACAGCTCTTAGCAGAGCCAAGTCCTTTATGAGAACTGGGCATCTGATTGCCGAGAGCTGTTTAAAAATCCAGCGACATACAGAGTAGATGATTGCGTGGGGTATGTATGACAGCAGAAGAGACGGGTGTTTTCAGAATACTTAAGCAATTTATCATATACATGTAGATAGCTTTTTTCTCAGTTGCTAATTAGCTAATCAGTTTGAGGTAATACCATGATTCTTATTTTCTCACAGCATGGTAATAGGGGTAAATCAAGCAAGGTCATATGTCTTCCTAAATTTTCTGCTTACAAGTGGTCAAGGTTTCTTTCCAGCATGCACAAAAGTGTGTTTTCTTTAGGGTTCTCCTTCACCCAAGCCCTTAGCTGGCCACAGGGAATCTGGAGGCTTGACAGAAAGTCAAATGATAGAAAGTCATTTTCCCATCACGGTTGAATAGATTCAATAGGCACAATGAATTGAGTTTTAATTGTCTGCCATTCTCTGCTTTCGTGGTTAAGCAACAATGTTTGAAGAATGTTTGAATTAGTGAACCTGCTTTCATTAAATGTCTTAATTTACAAATACTTTTTATGATTAATTTCCAGCTTGGTCTCCCTTTTGTACTAACAGGTTTTATGTGCTACCAGTTTGTGCCTTGAGGTCTATTTTAGCAAACAAACAGTAATTTCATCCTTTATGTTAAGGTGACAGGATATCTTGAAAATGTTGTAGAAAAAGTTCATCATTTTTAAAGTTTAACCAACTGATATTAGACACTGTGAACTTCAGTCCCTACAAATAGGGGAGATCTTAAACTTCACTGCCCTCAGTTACTGTTTTTACTTAGGAGGTTTTCCTTTTCCTCCATCTTCTTGTTGCTTCCTGGGTAAAAAGTTGGAATGGATTTTTTCAATGAGAACATTTCTATCTCATAAAGCTTTCATCTTCTTAACTTTACTTCACTATCAAACTTGCTTCCCTACCTTTCATTTCATTACTAATTTCAGTCAATATTCATTTGTTACTGTGTTATAACATTGAATGGAGAATTGAGCTGAGAGGGAAAAATCATTTCATTCAGATTATTTCTCCACAGTTCCATAATACAGTTAATATTTTGTTAAAAACTACAAATTAAAACATCATTTTTTTTTTTTTTTTATTTCTGAAGAGATTAAGAGCTTGTGAGAAAGCAGGTTATTTTAGTATGAGCGTTCTTCACTGCTGTCATGTGAAAGTTAGGGAAAGTCCAGTCCACGCTGAAAGATGCCTATTATGACTTTTATAACAGATGACGCAGTAATTAATTTTAATGATAGAAAGATAGGCATCGGGCACTGAATGGAGTGCTGAGATAAAAGGTGCTCACAGTTGTGGTGTCACGCATAGTAATATTGGATACAATAAAACAATTTCAACATAATGTATGTAATTTTTTTTTTTTTTAATGTTTAAAGGATTGGAACAAAAAGGCCAGCCTCCATCTCCCACAAAGAGCAAAGCAGAACAGCCTGAGGATCTGCAAGATGATGCTGAAGGTAGGTGGTCTGACAGCTTTTCAGAGCTATTAATCAATTTTGCATTTTGGGGAGAAAGGTTTACTCTGAATTCTTTGGAAAGAACTGGAAAGCTTTCATTTAAGAATGTTGTTTGCACACACTTGGAAAGTTCCTTTTGGCCTAGATCATGAGATTGTAATTCTTCTGAAGTATATTTTGTCTCAAGATAGATTCAGAATTACAAATGCTATTTTTATGTGATGGGCTACTAATTATTGCTGATATAAAATGAGAAATTGTTGCTGTTTTATGTCTAACCTGTTCTGACTTTATGTAATTAATAATACAAAATGTAATGCATGTCGTGCAGGGCTTGGGTCATAGTCTGGTTGGTTAAGTTGGTCAGGTAAATCAGCTACCTGCTGCAAAACACGGAGCAATAAAATTCTTGCTTTCCTTTTCTACAAGAAAATTTTGCTGTATCTCTTCCCACTCCAGTTACGGTGTTTATGGCTCTAGACCTTATGCAGTGTATTACATCTATCTGTGGGCAGAAGTCACAGGTGCTTAACATTATGCCGGTAGTGTTGTTCCTGTAAGAGTACTTTCCTCCACATGAGTCTTCACAGGGCAGCTTGTCCATGTGTACAGACGTAAATATGGTATATGTTGTTCTAAAATCGGATCAAAGTATCTTTTCTAATCCGTATCTTATTGGGAGAGTTATTAAAAGATGTTAACATCAAAGGCTTATTTTCAGAGTGCAGAGTTTCACGTTGCTCTCCTATGTGTGGAAGAGCAAAATGCCCCAATGCTGGAAAATTCCCCTTACGTGAAGTAGTTAAAAGGATGAACCTTAATCTTTAATCCATGACAGTTCCTTATCATGGATTCTCTTTGACCTAATGTTCCTCAAATGGCACATCTCATTCGGCACGTCTCATTCTGCACCTCGCCCAGTGGCTCCACGATCTTCATCGTTTTGACCCAGCGCTGTGCATTCAGCTCCTAAAATATGACTGGGGTATAGTGTGAGTCATAAAGAGCAGAGAAACGCTAACATCTATCACTTTAAGTAACTGCTAGTAACATCCTGTCACTAACATTGTGACTGGTTGTTAATGGCAAGTACTTAAAGCAATAGCTGTCATCGCCTGGAAGGTGTGGGGGGACCCAAGAAATCTCATCCCGACTGGTCTTCTTTCCTTTCATGCTGTACTAAACCCAGCTGAAATTAAAATACCAATTTTATGTCTGGATTAGAGAATTCAGTGAGGACAAACCACATGTCAGTTTGTACGCAGGCTAAATGGCATGTGGGATTGTGATGTCATTTTCCATATTCCTAAATAGGTGAAACAATGATAGTTTTTACGATGTATTTTCATTTAGAGTGTGGCTAAAAGCTTTCCTTGTATCAGTGTCAAAAAAAGGGGGGGGGGGAAGTGTTGCAAAACTGTAAGGTATTCCTTCCATTGGAAAAAGAACTGATGATGTTCCACTATTTCTGTGGCTTACTAGGTACTGTTTCCTAGTTTACTATGCCTGTCAGTGCTTCCTGGTGACCTACAGTTCACTTTGTGGAGCACAGACAAATGCATTGGAAGGGTGAAGTAAATAGCACGGCAATAGAATGATTGCATTACCCTCGAGCTGTAAAATGCCTGAACTCCTTGAATTTGATGCCGTACGGTAGTTTTTGCTGATGCAGAATTGAGGCCTGTAACACATAATCACTGCTGCAGAATTTAATCTAGCTGGTGACGGAGTCCTCTTCTCCTTAGGCAGGAATCAGGCCTGTAATGTTTAGGACTGAAAGTCTACATTGAGAATTGAGGGTGGTTGTGATGGGGAAAAAAAGGTAATTAAAGTGTTTGCTGAGGGGGGCTGGGGAAGAAACCTGGATCAGATTTCTGGCATTACCTGTGCCTCTGTTTTGAAGAGGAGTCAAGCCGTTAGGCTCCAGACACTGAATTCCTATAAAGTTGCCGAGTGGCTAGAGTCTAATGTAACACACCTGTGAGCCATTTCCATTTCAGTAAATGGGATTTGCACACATTTGTCTGAGAATAGGATTTAGTTTCTACTGTTCTAATTATTAGCTGTTGGTTTTGACTAATTAAAAGACCTTTTAATGGGGAGCCTTGAAGATTATGAAAGCTGTGAATATGTGACATGAACCAGAACTACATGTCTGAGTAATTTTATTTAGGTAGCAGTTTGTCTTCACTTCCAAAAAAATGCCTTTTTCTTTTTTCTTTTTTTTTTTTTTTTTCTTTTTTAAAAGAACTTCTGAGTAGGTAATGCATATAAACAGTCTCAAATAAAACACAATAAAGCCAGACACTGCCTGAGGTCAACTTTGTTGAATTTTCCTCATGGTAAAACTGAAGTGCTTTGTGTTCAGCGTGTTTTAACTTTGGGATTGTTCACATGCTTTAGGTACCCCAAATTTAAAAAAAGCAAACAAACCCAAGAAAACAGCAAACAAAAAAAACCCCACAACCCCTAGCTTTTAGCAATAAAATGCAAGTCCAAAGATACTTATATTTAACATAAGATAATACTTTCCCCTTGGTAACATGACCAGATATAAAATGTTGAACAAATATACACTGAGGCCCAGGAAGAAACAAATATTTTTCCCTCTGCTTAGTTGTCAGTGTCCTTTTAGACTGAAGATGGGAATATAACTCGCTATTTTAACAGCCTCATGCATGCCCTTGTGACAGTCTGTAAAAACTATTCCACTGAGTTCAGTAATATTTCTGCTGTAATATTTTTCTCCAGCACACCAAGCTGGTTCATTGGCTAGAGGTAATGGAGCAATATCTTTTCAGTGCATGTAAAAATCCCACAGAAGATCACGGAAAGTGGGCTCCTTCATTATTACCCTCTCTGCAATCAAGGAAAGTCGAATAAGTGGCTGTATGTAAGGAGCTTGTTTTGCAGTAAGCTAAAATAAACACTTGACATGCTAATGAAAGCAATTTTATACTGAACCTCTAAAGTATTAATGGTGTCTGTTATTATGCTATTAGATATATTGTTCTCTGCCTTCAGACCGTTGATAGAGAAAAGCAAGCGTGAACTGCATAGCAGATTCTCCTGTCAATGGTTGTATTCCGTAGTTTTTCACTGTAGCGCAGGTTATTGGCTGGGGAAATGAATAGACTGGATACATGGAGAAACATTCTTTACTCCCAGGTTCCCTGCAGTATTTCAGGTTTGACACGTGCAAACATACAGTGTCATTTTCTCTCTTTTTTTTTTTTTTTTTTTTTTTTCTTTTTCTTTCTTTTTCCCGGGTCCTGGGAGAGTAAAATCAGCCAGTGATAATTTTTCCTTTCCCCTTGGTCAGGTACACTCAGTGACTGAGTGATTGTAAAGTCTCAGGTGAGAAAAATATGTTTGGCTCTAAACAAAACTTAGCATGTCTTACTTCACTAGCTTCATAACACAATCCTAAAGTAATTACATAGACAAAATGGCAGTACTTGTCACAGCACAGCAGCCATGAGTTAGCACAAATGCCACAGGTCACCTGTTCTCATCCTACTGATTGTCACCAAGCAAAAGCAAACAATTTTTACAAAAGTCTAACAAAACAAAAATTTAAAATGTTCCTTATTTTTCTTAGCTACCTCCCCAAATGTCCTCCTATATCTACTGAATGGCGAGGTGTGTGCAATAGATTTTCTTGATACTGGGAGAAGCAAAACTGTTCACCCTTTCCTTCCTTACACGATTTCTCAGATATAAAACGGAGCCTGCCCAAGAGCTGCCCCATCCATTCCCACCATGGTCTGCAGGTGATCAATATTGTATCAAAGACGACTAATACATCTAATAACAGCAGCACAAATTGCCTGATCTTTCTCCTTCTCCAGGAGAAAGATAATCAATCCATGCAGCAAAAGCTGCTTCTGTGCCTCCTAAGGTCCTTGCCCGTAGGATCCTCCTTGCCCTCCCTCAAGGGATGTGAAGACAGAACTGGAGTTCTGCAAGTTGTCTTGCTCCAGCTTTTCTCATAAGCTTCTCCCAAAGTGAATGACCAGATTCATCCTGATAGATTGAGAGGTTGTTGGTCTCACGCGATCACCTTAGCTGAGGTTCAGTGTATGTGCGAGGAGCTGGTCTGTTGGAATTGCTCGTCCGGGATGAACTTTGTCTGCTTTCTGTTCACTTGGTGGAAAGGAGAACAGTTTGATGGATAAACCAAGCCAGGAAGGTCAAAATGAACACAAATCACCTTTAAGAGAGTTGGTAGAGCTGGTTCCTTTGCCTGATGGGGTCATCACACTGTCGACCCCTTGGCTTTCAAGGGCAACATCAAATGTCTGAAATGTTGCTCAGCAGCGTCAGGAGTCCGAGGCTCACCAGCAGGCTTCTGCCTCGCTCGGTGGACGCTCTGTGCATGAGAGATGGCAGTCTAGTGATTGGAGTACACAGTAGAAATAGGGTGAAATGGGGTCACATCTTATCTTGACAACTCATTGGTTCAGCTGATCATGGCCATTAGGTAGGATGCTCACCGAGAGGAAGATGCCCTGGCTCCTCATTCCTTCTCCCAAAATGTTTTTGTCCAATGCCAAGAACTGCATAGTCTTGGGGCTAGAAAATAAAACTCATTTTACAGTTTAGTCCTTTAATTGCGAGATAAACATAAGGCTTCCCCTTCCTGGTTCTCCTTTATATATCGCAAATTTTGCAGCTTTGCTGCTCACTCCCTGGCTTTGTAGAGAAGGATATAGTGTATGCACCCACAAAAGTCAACAGTGCTTGGCTTGTGCTGCTTTCCTCCGAGGTGGGCTTAATCCTCCCTGGGGCTGGGTGGGTGCGTACAACAGCTGCTGTGTGTTACCATTACCCAGGGATGTTTGAAGCGTCTTTTCTAAGGGCCTTCTAATACTATGCAGGCCTGATTGTCTCTCTCCTTAAGGTATGGATTAATATTAACTAGATTCGACTTCTGATTAGTTTTAAAATGTTCCTCGGTTTATAGCAAGCAATTCTTTTATCATTTGAGAAATTGTAGC